ATCTTGGTGTTGATTGATATCTGTCTGGTGTCCCGGATGTTGTTCAGTTGTAGAAGGGCAGCCCTTGCTTTGCCTATCCGCGCCCTCACATCTGCATCGGATCCATCTTGGTTGCCGGTGATGCTTCCCAGATAGGTAAAGGTGTTAACGGCCTCCAAAGAATCTGCATCAGTAATGATTGAGTTGGCTCATGTTGTTCTGTATCACCTAATCTCGCTTTTATCTTCAAGCATGTCTAAACCTGCTACTGCTACACTGGTTGTCTCCTCTTGCACTTGTTGTTGCATGTGCAATAGAAGAGCCAGGTCATCTACGAAATCTAGATCGTCCAGCTGAGTCCTAGCTGTCCATTGAATACCGTGCTTCCCTCCAAATGTTAACATCATAATCCAGTCGATATCTAGGAGGAAAATAAAGGGTGAGAGTAAGCAACCTTGCCTGGCACTGGCCTCCACCTCGAACGAGTCTGTCAGCTGACCTCCTTGCACGATTGTGCAGTTGAATCCATCGTAAGAATTCCGTATGATGTTAAGTAAATTCTCAGGCACGCCGTTGTGTCGAATAATCCTCCAAAGTGCTGTTTTATCCATGTTATCGAATGCTTTCTCGTAGTCAATGAACTTGATATAGGGTGATGAGTTCCATCCAATTGATCGTTCCATAGTGATCTTCAAAGTATCGATTTGGTCAGTACACGATCGATCCTTACGAAATCCGGCCTGTTGATCTCGAAGTTGGGCGTCTACGAAGTCTTTAATTCTGTTTAACAATACTCTGTTGAAGACTTTTCTTGGTATTGAGAGAAGATTAGTTCTCACTCGTGCTCAGATATCCTTCCTCCTCCGTGGATGCTGCTTCAATGTTGAGTGGGTTCAGTGGAGCTAGTCGAGCCAAGAGATCCTTTAAATGCTCCATCCACCTGTTTTGCTGTTCTTCAGTGTGGCTGTTTACTTTATCTTCCTTGCTTATCACTGGTCGTTATGGTTTACGACAGTTTCCAGTGAGTTTCTTTGCTGTACCATACAGTTGCCTCATGCTTCTGTATCTAGCAGCCTTTTCCGCTGCCGTTGCCAGGTCTTATACATTCTTACGTTTGTCGGCTCCAATGCTCCTCTTCACTTGCTGGTCTTCTTCTGCGTGTTAAGCTTGTGCCTTCATTTTCTCTGCTCATGTTTGGCTGATGTTGGTTGCTGTCTTCTTGTCCCCACTTCCTTCAATTTTTCAAGAGTACCAACAGATATCCATTCATTGTTGTGGTACTCCTTGTGGCCCAGAACCTCCTGACATGTTGAAGTGATTGGCTCCTTGGTCCTTTTCAACTGTCCTCCAAGGTTGTTCTCTCTCCATTGAATATATCGTGCAAGGCCTGGAACCTGTTGCTGAGGGCTGTCAGCTTTAATGCTGAATGCATATTGACATAGAAATTTTTTAATAAACATCTAATGCTTAGGGAAAGTTGATGGAGGTCAGTATAAGGTTGGTGCGTAAATAATGCTATCAGTAGTGCCTCACTGAATTATCTAGTGTTGATCACTGTAAATCCATCTTCTTTGTGATTGTAGTGCCTCCACATAAACTTGAGTTCGCTCATATTTAATTTGATTAAGCTTTTCGATTAACTTATGTAACCAAGCTATTTGTACAGCAACAACCCATATGTACCATTGGCAATTTTTATTGTCTGGTTTGTATGAGCTTGTTCAACTGAGCATTGCTTACGCCTACTCGGTTACTCATCATTTCCGCTTGGATGTTAATCTCTTAATATCCCTATGAACTCAGATGACTTGTCTCGCCTGCGTTTGACCTGGTCAATCATTCGTTGCTTTCATTCATGTGTGTGCATGCCTATTTCGCTTGTCATATGTCTATCTTATTTTTGTCTGACTATATATTCTTACTCATGCTCTATCTCTTAGAGTTGGCTCAACAGCCTTCTCCAATTCCCGTCGCTTCATTCGTTTTATTCACTGCTTCTCCGCTTCGCTTAGTGGTGTGCCAAAATAAACGTATTCAACACTTCGAGTTTACCTTCTGATTTATAAACCGTCAGACGCTGTTTAGTAACGATTGTCTAGACGAGCTAATTACCGAACTTAAGAACACGCAGTAAATCAGCACACTACAAATGGTGATCCCGATTTCGAAACGGGCCACTACATGAAAAATATACTATTGTATGGACATACTGATTGTATTCATGAAGGTGCTTACAAACAATATCAGTGAGAGCCACGATAGGGCGAGTAAATATTCTGATTGTTGTGACTTCGATTTAAGGTCTTAAAGACTAGTCAATCACATCATGGCAAAACAGCTGTGTTTGCTAACGTCTAGACCTAAATCCTCAATGATCACAAAGATCGATGAGATGAAAAGAATGACGAAACACCATACTTTGTAAAAATCAACAATGACGATCAACTTCAAATATGGATCGAATGGAAAAATAGGATAACAACGTCGCCAGAAAATGTTTTAAAAGAAATTTCTGCTGTATGCTGAATCTGGAGCTGCTAACAATTAATCATTGCTCACAGCCCGACCGTTGCGGCTACGTATATTTGGTAACAGTGATAATGTCTTTAGGTCTCACTGCGCCAGGTAAATCGATTGGGTAAGGGTAAGGATAAAAACAATAACCCAAGCTCCGAGGGTGGAGTTGTACAACTGACTGTGGACAGAACAGACAGTAGTACCGTGTATCCTCTGGAAAACCAGTAATCTCAGCAATGATGCTTCCTTGTAATAGCAGGAACGGGTTAGAAAAGATCGAACCTAAAAATGATACACCTAACCTTACCCCAAGCACTTACATCCATGGCGGTAGAGCCTTTTAAGGGTGGAGCTAACACTTCAAAGACTTTCTTAAAAAGGACATACGTGACCGGCCCCAGGCCGTTGTCTCTTGGCCACTGCTGTATGACTCCCAGGTAGCTAAGACTAACACTAACCCAGCTTCACGAGATCGCCCTATTCGCAACTAAAACCTTCCATCACCTCGTAATAACCTTTTCATCTCTAAAACTAACTCTTCCATATATATTTATAAACTCTCTCCACTAAAGCTAATGATTTCAGTTCACGAAATGCTTTTCTTGTTCTCCTGAAACGAAGCCTCACGTTATATGCTAGAGCCTTTAATGTTCAAACCTTGTCCCCATTAGGATAACGGACTTCCTTAGCTAGGACTCAGGGACCTCGTTCCGTTGACAAATGCTGCATCTCTGAAACGCAAACACAGCATCCGAGTACATCGAGAAGTGTTTGTCAGGGTTTTGCGGTTTCTCTACTTTTATTTAACTTTGTCATCGACATGCTTCTAGAGATAATGTTTTCATCTTCTCACTATCCAAGGGGTTGACCTTCTACAAGGAGATCAACCTGTTGACTCAGATTATGAAGATGACAAAGTGCTATTTGGTGAAGGCGCTGACAAAATGCAGTATTCTGACAAAAAGAAAACCAAAGTATCAGGGTTTGTGTCCCCTCAAAGGTTCGAACAGAGATCTCATCAAACTAGAGATGGCTGGTTGCAGAAACAGGATTCACTGACTCACTCATTTCTAGGCTCAGAAACTACCTTGAGAATAAAAAGTTTCGTACCAAGGTAAATAGAGTGCACGTGGGCTGGCGGGTAGCCACATTGGGAGTTTCACAGCGGGACATCTTAGGTCCACTACTCTTTCTGATATTCAGTAACGATCTGTTGGACAAAGATGGCTTGGTGGCATTGATCTCCGCAAACGAAGCAATGATCTGAAGGTCCATTGAAATCGATTAGGATCCAAGTGAGCTTCAAAGAGACCGTAAATCCATTGAAGACGGTTTAAAATTAAATCATTCGAAATTTCACGTTATTTACATTCTGCCCCACGTGAATTAAACGACTTACACCCTCAATGAAAGTCCACTCCAAACATCTCGGCGTAGTAACCACTGAAAGCCTCCATGCCAGTTTGAACTATATAGAAGATGCAGTCAAGGCTTAAGCAACTCTTCACTTTATACGAAGATAGCTTGGTGCTATTACGCCAGATATATTCTTAACGTTGTTTAAGACTTATGCGCACCCAACACCATGAGTCACCGCCTCCCTCTACTGAAAAAGGACATAAACCTCTTGGATCGCGTGCAACCAAATGGGTGGTAGGGTTAAAGGATAAAACTTAAGGAAATAGACCACAGCACTTGGGTTTATTCCGCCTGAGTTACAGGAGAATCAGAGGTGATCTGATTGTGGCCTAGAACATATTAAGCACCCCGAACCATCCCAACGTGAGCATCTTGCCTGAGCATCACCGTCACGACCCTCGAAGTAATACTCGAAAATTGCGCATCAAAAAACAAACACTCAGGTTCTTGCACAGTTTTTCATAGTGGGGGTTGTTGAAACTTTGAATGCTCTCACGGCCGAGGTGACTACAACTCTCTCAGTAGACAGCTTGAAGGAGAAACTTGATTATCACTAACTCACATACGGACTATCATCTCCTTCGTGGAACAGCTGTGCCTGCTAGCTGTTATTATTGCCATCTCAGGTCACTATTTTAATCTATCTCGCCTATTATTTCTTTTTTCACGCCTTCCTTACTCGTCGGTCCTCTCTCACTATCTTCCCAATGAATTAACAAACTTATCCATTAATTTACTCAGTCCTGAAATCCCTTTATTAGTATTAGAATTTTTCGCCCTATTATTCTCTACGTTGCGACTAACTGATCTCCAGGGTGGAAATGTGATAGCTGCTAGTTTCCAAAGATCCTACGGTCCTGAAACAAATCACGGGATATACAAATTTACGAACAGCTGCCAACTGACTAGAGTTAGTGCGGTCGAGTGGCTAGACATCATCTATTGGACACTGAAAAACACCTGGAACCGCACCGAAAGAATAAGAATCGAACTCTTAAAACAGTTGTTATTTACTAGCTCGTGAAAAGATATTGGATATTGGATTCAGTTTCTACGCCAATGACCTTGTTGTTTTAAACGGTTGCGAATCCTCGAAATATGAAATCAATCAGCTGGTTCTGTGGTTCAACGTTGGTTTCGGGGTGTTGTGGTTTTGACGGTACTATATGATCTTTTACTCATCGTTCAAACTGAGCCATCGATGCTAGAAGTTTCTTGCGGTAGTAATGCCCATGCTACGATAAGTTTTAGTAGAGAACTTGAACATGTCAATAACTTCAAAGTAAATTGTGGGGGTGAATATTACGAAAAAATCAATAATGGTGGTTTTGGTGAATATAATGGAGCGTCAGGAAATCTAAAAGCAAAAGAACGAACTTTCAACTTGAAGGTAACACCACAATCACAATCAACACCTGAATGCAAAGAAAAAGAACCTAGTACCACTAAGTCAGGAAACCGGACGCGTGTGGTTCAAGTTCGTTCTTCTTACTGCAACTCTATTTACATTGACAATGGATCCGAAACATTTTCCAGTATGCCATCAAGCACTACTAAAAGTTTTCCTGATTGCTTGACGGACACATTTGAAAGCCTAGATGTACAGCCTCCTCTACTTGATTATCTTGTCCGACATCATGCTATCAGTGAAGACTCAAGCCTTAAAATTATGCAAGCTGACAAACTGCAACGACCGTCTCTGCTACTGAGTGCTATTGGTCTCCCTATGCTTAACGGAATTATTATTAACTCAAAATCAAGTCTCACTTGTCCCTACCCTCCACCACCAGGATTGGCACTCTTGCTTAATGCATTAAGACATACAGGTCATCATGAACTTGCCAGCTACTTGGATTGTAGTCGACGAATCAACCCGTCATCAATCAACAGTGGAATGGATTCAAAATGCTGTTAGTTGACCTATGATTTTTATAGCCGTTTTATAAACATTATTGATGTAGAATACACTATTTGCTACTGAAACCGACTCAGGGTTGTGATAAGCTGTATAGTTTCGTACTTTGGGTGTTCGAGATTCGTTTCTGAGCATACCTTAGTACTTTTTAAACCACTGGCTTTACAGGTTTATTGACTTGTGCTTATCATCCAATTAATGCTTCCGTAGATCTATTCTATGAAAAGCGTCTGGCTATGAGGTGCACAATTTATTTCGTCAAGAGTTTTAACTATATCCAAAGCCGTATGTGCACATAAGCTAAAATGACGTACATTTGCCATACTATTAATGTGTTATTCTCCCTCTAGATTTAGCGTATACTAGTGCGTAGTTGACGTATTCATAGTGTTTTCATCAGTACATATGCATTCAACTTTTCTCTAGTATTGGATCCTAGTCAGTCAGTCAGTCAGTTGCAACGTAGAACTTCGTACGTAAGTACATCAGTTCATGTCGTCATACCACATCATTGGATCCTAAACCTCTAAGTTACCCTGTCAGATTACTTTATTCTGCTGGCCCATGTTTTCTCATATCTACATGCAATCTCCCCTATTCTTAGGAATATTTTCAACACATCTACTAATGAGGTTTACTTTGTCAATTCCATCTCGCTATGTTAATGAGACATTTTAACTTGAACCTTTGCTCACATGTCCCAGGTTTTATGTTGTGTATTATTGGCCGATTGTTCATTATTGAGTAGTCACAGCTACATTTAAATTATTTTTAGAAGCCTATTGACTAGCTTACTTTTGGGTTTAATGCAAAACATTTCTTCCAATGTTGACCAACTTGCACGAAGCATGTTGTCGTCAAAGGATCTAAATGTTACCGAACTTCGAACATATTGAGCGTTAGTTTTGTTCCTTCCATTTCGCAACTGTTATATATTAGTATTGGCTATGGATTAGGCCTAAAGTTAAGGACTCATAATCAATGATGTTTCCATGTCTGACAGATGCACAGAATGGGGAATATTGATAATAACTTTTTTATTGTATCAATGACAAACGGTCTCAACTTGTAACATTTCTGACCATCGCTTTTCATTATGAAGAGTGTATTTTCCTACTAAAAAGTGCCTATACAGCAACTGAAGTCGGCTACTGAAATCTATATGTTGCGTAACTTGAATTCAGTTGCGATAACTCAGATTTACTCGTCCCTTATATTTTCATGGAAGTACACTTTATTCTGTAAACACGTATTTGCACTTTTTCGTTTTTGTGTTGTATTTTTCAAGCTTTTATGACTACCACGACTTCTGATTTCCTCTCTATAACTACTCCTGGAGGGTCTTGATTGGTACTATCGTGAGAGCTCTATTTGTTGTGGTATAAACTCCTGATTTTACAAATAGTACACACCTTAATTAAAGTACAGAAACATGAAAGACCACCTCGTCTATTGGCCTATATTTTGGCTATGGGTGGGTGAAATAACTAACCATTAGTTTGAGCTATAACGAATGGTTTAGGTTTCCTAAATAAGTTTATGAACAGTCTAGGGTTGGAAGCTAAATTGGTGTCTCAAGTTCATCGTTATTGTTACGGATATTTTCGTTCTCAATCACCCTCTTCATCTTGAATGACATTATTACTTACTTCCAGTTTTGATCCCATCTCTAATACTGTTAGTACCATGGTTTTTACTCATTTGTTTCTCTACTCAGCGATTTGCACTCACTGCACTAGTCTGAAATATAGCAATTCGAAACGATGCTTGTTCTGTGTTTCAGACTTCTACATGTCTTTGTCATAACAAGGTTTGAGACGCATATTTAGGTGTTATCCATTTTCTTTACAGCCGATCTCACTGATAAGAGAAGACGGGGACAAATTTCCCTATGGATTCAAGTATTGGCGATCAAAGTATCTCCAGCTCTCTACAGTCAGCTTACGCCAAATTCTTCTACAAATAAAACAAAAGACAGTTTCATTTTACCATCACACGTTGAAAAATTACAAGAAGCCAATAGACTGTTTAATGTAAATAATCAAGATGAGCGCGATCCAGAACATTTTCAAAAGTAAGTTATATGTAGTGAATTTTTAAATGATTTCTTACCATACCATAAATTAACCAAATTACATTTATCGACCATGTGTTTTTTAAACAATTCTAGTGAATTCAACCTTCTAGCAAAACGTTCGAGTATGTACTCATTAGATTACGAGCCACTCATGTCACCTAATAATTAATAATGTTGCCTAGTTGCAAAACTTTTCGAACTTGTAACTGGATAATTAATAGATGACTTATGAAGAAATTTAGTTATTATACTGATTAAAATATCTGAGATCCACCTAATGAGCGATTCTTCTCGTTGGAAGATTTTCAATCAAATTAAACTGAGCTTATTCAGAAACCCCTCTTAATATCTAAAATGGTCATCATCAGATATCAACGACTGAAGCCTTTAGCTTAGTCTCCTCAATTAATGTAACTGGTTCGTTAAGTCGTGTAAAAAACAAACTTTTGTAATAATGTAATGTTTACTTTCCGATCGTGTAATTCAAGAGAACTGTGTATGCTTATGTACCAGCTGGCAAAATATTTGTAGCACCTTGTGGGACCCAATCGCATAATAAATATTGGTAGTCAGTGTAAATATCATTGTTCCTTTGAGAAAGATGATTGTATATCTGTAAAAGAAGATTACATCTCACAATATCATGTACTCGACTCATACCTTCTTAAGACGTCAAAGCAAAATCTAAATGTACCTACTTATATTTAAATAGAATCGTACACAGTTAATTAAAGTAGATTTTTCAAGACAATTGATTTGCTTTCCAAGTTATTTTATTTCAGGAAATGAGAAAAACTTCAAGAAAAGTCAAGTATTTCGGTAGTGCTAGTTAATCCAGGTAAACCTTTGCTTTTTAAGGATTATTACAAAAATGCCTATCATTAATAAACTAGTATCTGACATTTCAGCAGTGCAAACTCATACAAATTGGTTTTTGCACTCATCTAAAATCTTGTCATGCATACATATAGCTAATTCTTATATCTAGTTTAAACAGAAATCATGTCATGCCCTAGAATCTCTCTTTTCACAAACCAATAAATAAACAACTTTGTTTACTTCATACTCTCTTTGTACAGTTTACAGTTGAAGATAGCTTGTCAGCTCTTCAGTTCAATAAATAACCACATATTTGCTTTATTCCTTAGGTTACCTATATGGATAGATCATGCTAACACACCCGTACTAACTACACATGCTAACCAGTCGAATATGGATTGTACAAAGCCAGCAGAAAATTCTTTCAAAAAGGTTCGCAATCAGTGGATTAAACTGCTCTTACCTTTAATGTGCTGCTTTCATCGACCGGAAAAGTTCAATAAAATGTCTTCGCAAAACCCACCTGAAAACCCTGTTGATGGTCGTGCAAAACGTAACCTGACGAACAATGAGATACATCAGGATATTAACTTAAATCATAATTTGTCAAAGGGTGATTCTAATTGTTCAATTATTACTTCCCCAGATGACCTCAAAACCCGAATAGCCAGTCAAGCTATACTGAACAGCAAGTCCCTACAGTTTTATAATTCAGTTCTTGAGACTGGTTCAGCACTACGTGATGCAATCATTAAGTACTTGGAACAGTCAGCTGGTGTTCTTGTATTAGACTGTAAGTTAGGTCATTTTCCACGGACTTGCAACAATAATAATACGACCCTAAAGTCAGTATCTGCACTCTGCGTTGTACTGATTGCTACTCAGTCGGAAATAATTAGACGACTATCAGAGGACTGTAGTTTGCATTCTTCTGAAATCGAGTCTTCATCAAAAGAGACCAGTAATTATTCGCTACTTCCTGAAACAAAAACATTTTCGAACAAACTTCAGCTAACTTCCAAACTTGCAGATGATCTTGTTACTGCCCTCATTCGCGCAGGTGCATTGTGTCAATTGGGGTTGCAAAACCTACGACTTTCAGTCACATTAGATCCAAGTGAAGTCCAACTAGCTATTAAAGAACTTATGGATTTAGAAGATTAATCACTACTAAACTCAAAAGATGATACCTCTAAAAAGCCTGTTAAATACTTTGTTATGATCTGTGATATATTTTATTTTACACTAATCCCTTGTAATTAACTAGTTCATTACCCACATGTTACGACATTTTTGTCGTCTGTCTTCCAGTTAACGCATTTCACTAATGTAATTATAGTAATGCCAGTTTACACTAACTTTTGTAACCTACCTATCATTACTTTTAATTTCTTCTCTACCATTTGTTTTTGCCACTAGTCATTTTTGTGCTTTGAACCTTTCAAAAAATAATCATGCTCTTAAAAGACTTGTGGATTCTCAAATTTTCTAAAACAAATATATAAATGAGTGTTTTAAACCGAAAGAAGTCTCAACTAAACATCTCTAAGCGGGGATAATGTAGGTGCACAGAAGTTTTTATATTACACATGTTTTACGTATGCCAAACCACCGATCGCCTCGTCAAGCTGTTTTACGGCGTAGGAGTAGGTTGGAAGAAAGCTGGTGGCGGCCAGACTAAAACATGGCCCAAATCCATGAAGTCATTGATAACTTGGTTGAGTCATGTTCGTAAGTGTAGACTACCTGTTTGGGGTCCGAGAGACGATATCAACGACGTTTGTAATGGGGCAGGTGCATCCATTCGTTGTGTTCTCCCAAATCTTAATCCTCTGGATTCTTCATCGCCTTTATTTCACTAGATTCTACTTGTTGAATAATATCTTCGAACCCTAAAATTTCCGATCACTGCTAATACTCCTACTACCTCTACTACTATAGGATTTGAATTGACAGTTGCATCTCTGTGCTAATGTAGTATGGCAACTTGTACTCATGTACGTACGTACGAAGTTCTACGTTGTTGATTAACTGACCGAAATTGCTTGCAGAGAAACTTTTGCTTAGCATTCAACACTAAATATTGGTTACTAAACTATCTACATCCAATTTCACCTTACATTAGAAAACGCTAATTAGAAGAATCAAACATTAGAAACACTCTATACATACATAATTTGAAAATAAAATCCTGTTTAATGTATATTATGGTATTGGAATTTATACCAAATATCCCGAACACAGTAAAAATGTGTTATGCGTCAAATCTGTTCTCTTAATTACTACCACGCACATCTAGTAAAGTCATGACAGCTACCCTTTAAGTTACATTACAAATATCCTTTTCTTATAGAATCTTATTACCTATTTCTCCTGACTCATGTGTGCTTACAATCAGAATTAGCCACGAAATCGTTCTGAGGCTAAGAAATTTTACAATTATAAGACATTGGTACTGTTAAACAGAACGAAGTTGATGATCGTACCATTAAATATACATGACAATAAGTATTGTACAGTTTCTGGAAATGTAAATGCTTATTATCTATTGTAAATCATTAGGATTATAATAAGCTGACAATATGTACTGTATCACTTTACCGGTTCATAATAACTGATTGAAACTTTTACAAATTTGTTTGTTGAATAAGTACCAATTAAAATTACATACTGATCAGTTCAACAATGTAACCAAATCTAGGTGATTTAATAAATTCGCCTAATTGAAATAAGTCCACTCGAAAAAAAAAACCCCGGGTAAAATCAAAACAAATTAACTATCATAATAAAAACAGTCTTGTATTATTTCAAATGATTAACAACATATGTGACCAATGAAAATGCGCCGCTGTTGTTGTTGGTCACATATACGGCTAAATGTTTACAGGTGCAATTAAATATGTGTTAATATTTCAAAATACACACATATTAATTAAATAACTCAACAATAATTATTGAAAAATGAAACAACAAATAAAAAAAATCTGAATAATATAATGGCGGTATTTATCACTGATTAAATTTTTGTTTTTACTTCAGTAATAAATTATTTAGAAATAAATTGTATAAGAAAAACAAACATACAGAAAATCTATTTAAAGGCAATAAACTTGATAGCACAAGTTATTCTATTTTGTTTAAAATTATTTTCATAGTGTAAATTTTCATGATACAATTATTAAGATCTGATAGAAAAAAAGATAATGTGGTTTGTAGAGAAATCTGTTTTTCAATAGAAATAAGTTATACTGGCAAGAGAATTGATCATGTACAATAATGAAACTGAATAAAGCAAATGCATGCACATGTATATGATATTTATATATATATGTGTATATATACAAATAAATGGAAGTGTTTTATGACAAAACAATATTTATCTATGATTAGAAATAATGCTAAAGATGACGAAAATATTCAATTATAACTAAGCACTCTTGGAAATGTTGTTGCTTTTGTTGGAACCACTAGTTGACGAGGTTGTGGACGGAAAGAAAGACGATCTTTGCGAAAATTCAAATCCATACAACCTACAGTTCCATCGTAACGATTTTTAGATACCTGGTGGTTTATTTGAGAAAAAAAAAACAAAACAAACATAGATAACGATTGGTTGTTAAACGGTATGTTGTGAATACTTACATAAACAAATTTTGTGAATGTTTATGCGAAAATGCAGTAAATATTTGTCGATTATTGTGTACAAAACAGTCATAGGTTAAAAAAAAAACCTCAAGGTCAATGGCACAAAAGAAAAATAAAATATATCACCGGCCAATAAGATAGTGATTAAAGAGTGCGTTTATTTGCCTTTCGTGTACAGAATGATTCACCCATCTTAAATTCTATATCATGCATAATCAACGTGACGTAACTTATCTACAAAGTTCAATTTCAAGTGTTGCGCTTAAAATTAAACTGTCAACATAAGGCCTAATAATAGATGCTTGATTGGTTGAACTGTTAGAGTTATGGGTTTTCGAATTTATGATTGAATGGTTGTAAACCATTAAATTTTAGTGGAACACTTCAACGAAGAAAACTCGATTGGTGAAAAATAAACATTTTTTATTATACTCGTTCTGTTTAACTGTACCAAAAACACGCGCGCAACGTCCTTTTTGTCGTTGCTGCCGTCTTTCATAACCTGCTGCTCGATGTAACGCCTACTTTCTCCTTCAAATAAATATTCAACCCTGGATTTATTTCGATAATTTGTGACGGGATAGTAATGAGTATTTTATTTAGTGGTGATCATAGTCGATCTCGACTCGGTCACCACTAAAAAATTACCATTTTACAATTGTTAAACTCTTTCCCGATATTTTTCACATCATATTGAATGGATATCATATCACAAGTGTCAGAATAAAAAAATTAATTTCATGATACTTACGCCATTAGAATTAAATTCTACTAATAATTGTCTGGGGAAAAAAACTAGGTTTAAGAAAAAAATCAATATTAATCTCTGTCCTCATCAAACTCTTCTCTAGATGAGTCATCGCATAGAGAATTGAGAAAAGAATGGAATAGACTGAACATTATTTATTTTTTTCCCGATATTTTACAGTTTAGACGAGCGCATATTTTTTAAAATATGTATGAGCTAATCTCTCATATTGATCATTACTAGAACAAAGTAGAAGGGGATGAGAAACTTGGTATGCATAAGGAAAGTCTTGAATAACAATCTATATTCATTCCAAATAAGATAAGTACAGCTATTGCTACTACTCCTACTAATACTACTACTACTACTATTATTATTATCATTATTATTAATAATAATAATAAGCACGTATTTTCAATCAACTTATTAGACACTTGAAATATTCTGCGCCCATATCGATCATTATGACTACATAATTGTGATAATTTGATGATGATTAGACAAATTACTATATAACAAAATGACTGAAGCATTGAATATTTGACTAAATGTATCTAAGCCTATAATGTTCTAGGTAAGTTTATATGGAACCGTCAAGATCAAAGGGAACACATTTACGCCGAGAAATGGAGGACAAATATGAGAAGAATGAACGAAAATTGGACAGAACTGAAAAGAGAAGCCGAGGACAGAGTAGGCTGGAGAATTCAGGTCGGCGACTTATGCTTCATTAGAGGTGACAGGCGTAATTAAATTATATCAATGAAATATAAAATTTTGTGAATGGATGATAACAGTGAGAAAAATTGTTCTGCATTCACTCAGTGGTTCTGCGTGTCGTTGGTGAAACTGTCACAGTTAAGCGTATCATTGGTTTTTAGTTGAAACAACCGTCTAAATACAGGATATGTCATACCCATAGCTCCGTTTATTATTTTGAAGAGCGCAAAAACAAAGATTGGTGTAAAGTAATGTGAATTCATTTGATTTCGTTAGGTTCTCATTAGATGTTCACAATCGATAATATCTACAAATCCATATAATCATAGAAATCGACATACGTATAGGAAGACGTGACCAACGGAGTTCAAGCCTGTCGGGTGTAGACAGTAACTACCAAAGACAAATAGGTGAGGTCGCGCAAAATCCGTAGATCAATCAGTGTTAGACCTTAACACCATTGGATGCCGGCACAGTGGTTCGATGGTTAGGCGTTCGCGCACAATACCGAAGGTCCCGGGTTCGAATCTTGTGAGGTGCAGGATTCGTGGATGCGAGCTGCTGATGAGTCCCATGCCAGGACGAAACGGCCATTCGGTGCTTCCAGGTTTCTAGTGGTGGTCTAACAATGATTAATGATTTTAAATGTGTAAAAACACAAATCTCCAAAGATCCAACTGAAAATACGTATAAGTACGAAAGTCGATAAAAAAACGGTGTATCATGATATTCCGAAGTATTCAGTCAAGTTAACAAAGTCATAAAATTGTGTTACCGATACATAAAATGTGAGAGAAAAAGTTCTAGAATATCGAGCCAGTGATTAGAAATCATACAAACGTAACATAATTGCGTCATGAATTAATCGAGGTCAAATTAATAAAGAATAATAATGAGTTGAAATCAAACTTGTCAGTTCAACAGACATGAAAATAATGTAATCAAAAAATGAGAGAGTTGAAATATAGGATGATGTGATAGAATAGATGTGATGTTACCAGGGCAAGGAAAGATTTTTTAATGATTCTTTTTGAACAAACAAATTTTGTTTCAGACGTTTGATGGCTCGACAAATTTTAGAAGATGAGAACTTGATTGCTGATTAATCACCCTGTAAGACTTTAGTGTATCCATTTGATGTCCCGAGATCGCACTGATGAATGCTTCATATCCACATGAACTCAGACTTTCTGTAATATGTTCTGTGAGTCAGTCATTCAGTAGGATGCAACGAAGAACTTCGTACGTATGTACATAAGTACATGTTGACACACCACATTAGCACAATGACGCAAATGTCAAATCAAATCCCATAGTGATAAAGATAGTAGAGGTATTCATGGTAATGAAGAAGACTAGGGTTTGAAGATATTATTCAAGAAGTATAATTCAGTGAGATAAGGTCAGAAAGACAAAGGTAGTGGTGCTGACGATTCCAGAAGATTAGGATTTGAGAGAGCTCAACGAATGGATGCACTTGCGCCATTACAAACGATTTTGAGCCATGTCGTTCAAGGTCTCTAACCATTGGTGACTTTCGTCTCGCGGACCCCAACCACGTAGCCTACATCTAACATGACTTAGTCCATGTGTCAGTGACTTCATGGATTTCTGCCATGTTTTGGTCTGGCGGCCCCTAACTTTCTTCCAACCTACTCTTACACCACAAAACATAGCTCGTCGAGGCAGTCGGTGGTTAGGCGTACACAATACATGTCGCGACCACCTCAACTGATGAAGTTTCAGCACTTCATCTATTGATCTGCCATTCTTACCTAGCACCCGTTTCCTAATAACAGCGTTGCTCACTCGGGTGTCCCACGATATACGAGCAATGCTTCGAAGACACCTATGATCGAAAACCAGTAACCTACGAATATCTTCTACTCTCACTGGCCATGTTTCACAGCCATAAAATAAGACGGAGCGAACTACTGCACAGTACACTCGTCCTTTAGTCAGCAAACGGATATCTCGCCTACGCCATAAGTGACGCAGGTTGGCAAAAGCCAATCGAGCTTTCTGTATCCGCCCTGAGATTTCGTCAGTCACCAGGCCATCAGCACTGATGAGACTCCCCAGATAAGTGAAGCGATCAACACGCTCGACTGCTTCACTCCCCATCACTAGTTCAGGTGCCGATGAGACCCAATCTTGAAGCAACAGTTCGCATTTCGAGGGTGAGAACTGCATCCCGAACATGCTCGCATTGTTGCTTATGGTAGTCAGAAGACTCTGCATTTTGTCAGCGTCTTCACCGAATAGAACTATGTCATCGGCATATTCTAGATCAGTAAGCGACTTTCCTGGTAGAAGGTCAACCCCTGAAAAATCTGACGAGCTTAATGTTAACTCTAAGAGGATGTCTACGACAGAGTTAGACAAGAATGGAGAGAGTGGACAGCCCTGACGGACACCACTTGATGTAGAGAATTCCGGTGGCAGCTCTCACTCGACCAGTAGTGTTCGAGTAGAGTGCTTGTATAAGGTTAATGTACTTCTTTGGTACACCTTTCAACGAAGACACTGCCACAAAACCTCACGATCAACAGAGTCAAATGCCGCTTTCAGGTCCAGGAACACGACTATTGTCGGACGTCTTAATGAGTGTCTGTGCTCCAGGACCTGTCGTAGTGTGAAGATGTGGTGTATACATCCACGTCCAGGTCGAAAACCAGACTGATTTTCTCGAGTCTGCTAATGAAATTCAGTTAAATTCCATTCCATGTATCTTTTCCATAACCTGAACGTTGAATAGTGTCATACGTTCTCCGTTTTATTGCGATATCAAGAAAGTGGAACTTGTTTTCATTTTCATGTTTCATATCAAACTGGATATTTTAATGAGCATCGCTGAAACGTTTTAGCATATTTTTCGTGTATTGTTGATTATTACATACGATGAAAGTATCATCAACATACCTGAAGTAGTACATCATTTCACCGAAAGCCCTATAAAGATTGGTTCTTTCAAGATGAAAATATTTGCTAGGACAGGACTTAAGGGACTTCCTGTCAATTTGACGATATAATTAGTTATCCAATTGAAACGGAGTATTTTGAGTTCTGATGCTGTTGGAAGTATGATGTCAGAATGCTGGTAAATTATGTCTACAGTTCCACAAAAGGGTATTTTGGTAAACAGTGATGGTACATCAGAAGATACCATCGACTTACAAACATTCTTTATATGGTTCATACGGTCGACAAATCCAAATAAATCCTAATGCATTTGTAACTAACTGCTTACGGGTTGAGTTTCTGTCGTAGTTGCGTTCGCATCTGTTTTCCAGACATAAATTTCAAATCCAAGAGAAAAAAATTTTCGTTTCCAACTGATTTAACTTTACATTTGATAGACTGTACACAAAAAATTTACAGCGTTATCTGAAAAGCTTTCTTATAAGTGTTCCTTTGATAAAGCAACATAAAAATTCTTTCATAGTTT